ATCCCTCCCCTCATCTAATTTGATAACCTCCTTGCAGGGTGGGCAGGGTAGCAATAGACTCACTTTGCCTTCAAGGAAATCGAGGCTCAGACACCGAGAAGACTCTGTACAGAGCTATGGAGGAACATGCCTGGTCCTCAGACTTGATTTCATTGCACACTTCCCATCCCACCCCCTCCGCCATCTGATGGCCCATGATAGCTTCTTACTGAGGGAGGGCAGGCTGAGTCTGTGGTAAGGAGAAGGGGCTGGGAGTGGGGAAGGCAAGGAGGAGGGGGGGCATTGGGGGCGATGGGACCTCTCTGGGGGACCCAGCCCCTGAATAATGGTCTTCTCTTTATTCTGGAGATACCTTGGGTTGCAGCTGCCTGAGCTGCTAGAGGATGAGACAGAATTCCTGGGTGGGCACAGGATCAGCATTTTTTTTTTTTTTTTTGGTACTGAGGATTGAACCCAGGGGTGCTCAACCACCGAGCCACATCCCCAGCCCTTTCTTATATTTTATTTAGAGACAGGGTCTTGCTAAATTGCTGAGGCTGGCTTTGTACTTGCCATCCTCCTGCCTCAGCCTCAGAAGCCGCTGGGATTATAGGCGGGCACCACTGCAACAGGCCTTAACATTCTTATGGGAAGTTCCTTTTCTTGTTCAAGTTCCCTGTAGAAAGACTGCAAGCTCCCCTGAGTCAGGGTCAATGTCTTGTTCAATATCTTATCTCCCAGGGCCTGAAGCAGTTCACTTTTGTTGAATCAATGGGAACACAAACATGAATGCAGCCTGCTAGTGAGGCCTAGAAGAGCCACAGGGTGTAGACCCTACACAGCTAGTGATGGGATCAAGCTCTGAAGTTCTGAGCCCAGATCTATGTTGTTATCAGATTCCTCCAAGGGCCAGATAAGGGTGGGGCAACCTATTTGGATCCCACAAGAGCAAAACTCAGAGAGGTCTAGCAAATTAGCCAGAATCACACAGTGTGTGAGCCAGGGCTAGAACCTGGAGGGTCAATTCACAGCCCAGGGTTGGAAAATGAAAATAAGAACCTTCTCCCATGGGGGCAGCGGGCAGGGGGCAGACTAGAGGAAATGCCCCAAGTGCCACAGGGGAAGCAGACAGGCTTCTGCAGGCTTGGGTGAGTCCAGGGACTCCAGCCAGAATATTTCAAAAATGTTTCTCACCTTGCCCTCCTGGGGTTGTGGACCAAGGTGGCTGGGCTGGCTGCTGCCTGGGCAGAGAAGGGAGCAGAGATATTCCCCTCCCCAGCGTCGTCTTCTGTGCTAGCTCAAAGCCTCAAGCCCGCTCCCTGCTCCTGTCCACACCCCGGCTCCTTGAAGCACCCCTGGCTCTGGTTTGGAAATGGGGGTTCTTGGAGGCGCTGTTTGGCCTTTGGATCATTGAAGAGCCCCAAGTCTCCCTCTCTGGTTTCCATTATAGCAGACCATCCTCAAAATTCCTGAGTTCCACCCAAGTAGGGAAATAAGGTTCCAAGGGCAGCCACCTGCCTGAAGTCATGCAAGTTCACACCTGGTATCCTGATTCCAAGTCAGACTGCTCTGGAAGCCAGAGCATCAACTTTCCACGTTAATAGACAGCGATGGGTAGCCAAAGACTGTGATCAGTAACAAAAATACCTAAGAACACAAGTCTCCCTCCGATTCCCTTCTTCAGGGCTGGTACCTTTATTTTTGTTGGTGAGGGGTACCAGGGACTGAATTCAGGGGTACTTCACCACTGAGCCACACCCCCAGGCCTATTTTGTATTTTATTTAGAGACAGGGTCTCACTGAGTTGCTTAGTGCCTCGCCATTGCTGAGGCTGGCTTGGAACTTGTGGTCCTCCTGCCTCAGCCTCCTGAACTGCTGGGATTACAGATGTGTACCTTTTCCTTATCCTGCAGGGGGACACTTTCTTTTGGATAGGACATGCATTTGGGATGGGAATGTAGGCCACTTGGGTTTAATTCTTTCTTCTGCCATTTCCTAGTCCTGTGACTTTGGGCAAGTTCATACTACCCTGTGTCTCATTTTTCTCATCTGTAAAATGGAGAAACTAGTAGGGTAGAGAGCAATATGAGAATGAAGAGTTGGAGCCTTTTATTTTCCCACCCTTGCCATCCCCACTTAGTGTGTGGATTCAACCCCATGTGCTTTACCACTGAGCCAGCCCCAGCCCTCTTTAGTCTTTATTTTGAGATAAAAAATTTATTTAAGGGTCTCACTAAGTTCTTAGAGTCCTGCTATATTGCTGAGGCTGGCCTGAACTTGGAATCCTCTGGCCTCAGACTCCTGAGTCATTGGGATTACAGGTGTGCAGCACCACGCCTGGCTCAAGGTGCTTTCCGAATGTTCCTGTGCTCCAGCTTTTTCATTTGCAAAAATGGGAATACTAAATATAATCTGCCTTGTTGTGGGGGGTGGTTGTGGGGAGTATGTGACCAGCACCCCATTGATTTCCAGACACATTTCTTCGCCTGCAGGTGAAGTGTGAGGACTTAAATGTCCTGTCCCTCCCTCTCCTCCTTGCTCCTCCCACTGAAAGACACCTGGAGAGTGGGAGCAATATTCTTGGATTATTGGCCTCCTTTGACTCTAACCCCGAGACACTGGGCAAGTGACTCACCCTCTGGAAAGAGCAGGTGGAGAGCTCATCCCTGGCTGCCTGAGTCAGGGTTCACCAGACTTGAGCAAGCCCTGTCACCTCAGATGACTCCTATTCTCACAAGCTCTATGCCATGTCAACTGAGTAAAGTCCTAAGGTGAAAGAGAAAGGGAAAGCAAGATCCACTGTCTGTGTGCTGGGCAGAGGCCTCTACCAGTTGGGAGGTAGACTTCCCATTCCATTTCTGTCCCATCTTAGGTACATGGCTGGCTGGTCATCTGGCTTGCTTACTGATTGACAGTAAGAAGAGAAAGTAAAGAAAGTGGAAGGAGAAACAGTTTTGTGTCCTGAAATTAGCGCAGGGAGAAACAGGAATTTCTACACTTATTTCACAAAGGCATCTTGCACTTAGCACCTGGAAGGCAGAATTGGGCAGAAAATTTGGGCACTCATGCCAACAGGAAGTCAGCTGCCTCCCCCTCCCCCAATCCTATCATTTGGGAACAAGGTTGAAATTGCATCAGAGAGTCAGGATTCGACTCAAAAGCTTCCCCAACACTTGTGTGACACTTGGCAAGTGGCTTGATATTTTGAGTCTCAATTTCCTTGTTGTAAGATGGGGATAATACCGGAGCAGCCTGTTTATTATGAAAATTAAATAAGAAACACAAATAGAGTGTAGGACCTGGAACACAGCAGGGACTCATTTCATTCAATAGCAAACATCTAAGACCTACTGTGTGCCAGGGTCTCTATAACAGGGGCTGGGGGCCACATTAATAGACAGAATAAACTTGGTCTCCACCTATTACTTACAGGAGAGGAGGGGTGACAAACCTTGAATAAGAGGGACCATGTGGAGTAATGGTTAAGCAACCGGGTTGGAATCCCATTCATTCACTAACTGGGTGAAGTAAGCAAGCACAAGGCTTTAGACTTTGATTTACCTGCAGTAAAATGAACCTGAACAACACCCACTTCACAGAGGGGCTAGGGTTACATGAGCTGACATGTAAAACTATTCCCAGCACCAAGTAGTACACATAGGACCATCGTGGGCTGCAGGATTGTAACAGGCAGAGAGTAGAGATGATGCCAAGGCTCAGAAACATGCCATCAGGAAGGCACCTCTGGAAGGAGGGGGTGAAGGTAAAGAGGAACAGCAAGATGGTTTAAGGAGCTGGGGCACCGAAGCTGGTAGGGGTTTGAAGGGAAAGAGTGGCAAGATCAGTTTGAAAGCTTTAAAGTGTTCCTTCCACTTAGCACGTGAGGAACCAGGACAATCTGTCTCGTTTATTACTGAAGCCCCAGGCCTGTGTACCAAGACGGGCGATTCCTTGCTGACTCTCATTCCCGCTAGGACTTCCAGATTCACCAGCTTTTACATCTGGTTTTTCCAAGAGTGAAGCAGGCAGGGAAAGATTTAGGAAAGACTAAAGTTAGAATCCGGACCTGGGACGCCTACATGCTCACGTCCACACTCCTTCTGGGACCCAATGGAGTCAGGTGTCCCTGGGTTTGAACTCTTGGGCAAATCATTTCTCCTGGGGGTTGTGAATATTCAGTGACCTACGCGGCCATCTAGCCTGGTTCATATCATGCTCTCGGGAAATACAACTTGCACCTCTTTCTTCTCTAATCCTGATCTCCTCTCCGTCCCTTCACCAGAAGGCGGGGTGGTCAAAACCTGAGGAGGAGGGGTGTGGCTGGGAGCGGACTCGAGGAAGCTGAGGAGAAAGTGCAATTTTAAAATGTACAGTACCATTTGCAAAGGGACAAACTGTTCAGTCCCTAAATCAGTGTTTACGAGGTAGGGGAGTGACAGAGTCCCACCCGCGGTAATCCCTCGGAACCCATAACCTGGGAAGAGGGTCCCCAGGGGCGGAGCCGGGCATCGCGACTCCGCCTAGAGGGCAGATGACACCAAGCTAGGCGCACGTGGAAGGGGAACTGCTTTCCCAGGCAGGGTCAAGCGAGGCCTCCGGCCAGGTTTAGGGACAGTGTGCGGAATAGGCTGGAGGGGGAGGTGAATTTCTGAAAATCCCAGAAAGCAGAGCCCTGGAGGCGGAGGCGGAGAAAGCCCACCGCCCTGCACTGCGAAGCGCGTGGATCTGGACTTTGGCTTAGGCCAGCGGCCACTCTAAGGAGGGTATCCCCCACCCGTGAGCCTCAGATGGGACGCGCCCCATCTCCCACCCTTGCCCCTGGGCCCAATCCCACCTTCGCTCGCGCTCGCA